CAGCAGTCACATCTACTTGCCTACTACAATACATCTCTACCTCATCTTCATTGCGAATGATTTCTCTCCCTCAGAAGTGCTCACAGAAATCGCGAGAGCCACCATTAAGCGACTTACCAGTGACGTTAAGCAATGAGAATTCGTCACTCTTAATCGAGATCCACAAGTCAACATTATCCACGTCTGACAGAAAGGTCTCAGCATCTCCGCCAAGCGCGCCACTTATGGAACCACACCAAGACTATCAAAGTTCACCTACTTATTCAAGATGCACATGCATGACAGCTCATCGCTTTGATGCATGGTCGCCGAACGGTGTATGGCATAGCAGGGGACGCCGTTGGATGATGCTAGGCAGAACGCTTTCAAAGCCCGCAACGACTGCCACATACTACGCATCCCCACAACATGCGCATTACGGTTTGAGTGGTCGTACGAAAGCGGTCGTCTCCTTGCTGATTCTTGTATCCACCACCACGCCTATCTGCGACTCCAACAGACTTGGTGATTGCATTGCATGCTGACCAGGCCTCTCTTGTGAAGGTGGCAGAATTCCAATACCTCGGCGATTTCTCCTTGCAGCAAGTATCCCGACATGATGCACTTCTCAACAGCCAGACCTTGCATATACATCGCTGGGATACTAGTGAGGGTCGGCACGGATTCTGTCAGCTTTGCGAACGTTTCTCCCCAACGGTCCAGGCCGCAGTGGCAGGTAAACCGCCAGTTTGGTCAGAATGGCATGATTTGACACGGCCTTCCCCGGATCCGATACATTGGTTGATGCGCCCGACGCATTCCTTCCAATGCAGCTCACGCGGCCAAGGCGCCGGAAACGCCGAGCTACGAGTGGCTGAGCCAGACGAAGACGAAAACCATGATAGAGACAATGGCAGGGAATCATTTGGAATTCCGATAGCCGCAGGTTGGAAGCTGTTTGGGAAAGTCCTTTGTGTACGCTAGAGAACTGTGCCTCAAACACACAGCAGAGCAAGGCAGATCAGGTCTCATTCCCAGAACTGGGTCAGAAGCCGGGCCTTAGGTCGTGTTAGCGCCCGAGAAGCAAAGGAAGAAGACAACAATGGTGGCATTGAGACATTGACGGGCGTGTTGATGGTGTGCACCCGGGGGATGGTCGGTGAGCTGGTGGCCCAATCTCTCGGAAGGAGTGACGCATGTCCAAAGCCACGCACTCGGTACTGGCAGGATGAGGCGTAAAGCTGTCGGTGTCATTCGACACGTTGGGCGTGGCTGTGGGTCTTTGCAACAGCTGGCAGCAGACAGGGCGGTCGAGGTTGCGAGGACTGCGGGGTTGACTGGCCCCCTAGCGCTCCCGTCGGCGCTTTCGCTGTCGGCGCGCCCTCCAAGGCCAGGGCCTTGGGAACGACATTATCCATTCCGCTGGGTTTCGCCTCTTCCTCGACACGACTCGGGGCGAGTCCTGTAGCGCACCGTAGCGCATCCCCAAGACATCATGGCCACCTCTGCGACTGACCGTGTGCGCAAGACCAAGCTGCGGCCGCTGTCCAGTGCCACCAATCTCACCGACTTCACGCACTCGACAGCCGACCCAGCTGATGTATGCCGCCTGCTCTCCCCACTACATACGTACCAAGGACTCCAAACTAATCGCGATATGTAGTCGGATGCACCGTCAGATGGAGAACTCAACGACTTGTACCTCTCCTCCTCACCCCTCGTATACTCCATGCGCTTACACATTGCAGCGAGGTGCAAAGCCTCACGCCAAGCATGTATGGCGTCGAGAAGAAGTACGGCCGAACTTACCATGGCTTTCATGCTGGAGGTACGCATATCCACCGAACGGCTTTTCGCCTGACTTTAGCTAATTGACTCTAGCCTACCCATTCCCCAACGACGAGGTACGCGCTGCTAGAACCCATATTCGCCCATCGCCCTTTCGCTGACTCGCATACCCACAGCTCGAGATATATCGCCTGGAATGGGAGCATCACATCATAACAGGACTGCTGCAAGGCAAACACTACTTCGCGCCGCTGAACACAAAGAGATCGTCGAGGATGCTGGACATTGGCTGTGGCACCGGACAATGGTGCATCGCCATGGGTATGTGCTGTGTCTATAGCTCCTTGTAGCAACACTACTGACAAGCAATAGCAAAAAAGGCTCCAAAACACTGGCGGGTACGCGATGCAATGTTCTGTCCATGGCCACGCTAACCAGACATCAGGTTGAAGGCATCGACTTATCCGCGATCCAACCCAAGAAAGACAGACTGCCCAACAACGTCGACTTCTGGCTGGACAACATCCTCAAGACATCTTGGTGGTTCCCCGAAAAGCAGCCCTATACCTACGACTACGTCCACACACGCTTCATGCACGGCATCTTCACAGACTTCCGAGAAATCATACAAAAGGGCTTCAACAATCTGAAACCCGGTGGATGGATGGAGTCGCAGGAGATATTTTCCAAGCTCCAGTGTGCCGAAGGCATGCCGGAAAGTTACCCGCTGCTTGAATGGTCAAATCTGCAGGACGAGGCCGCGCACATTCTGGGCCGGCCGTTACGCATTGCGGACAAACTAAAGAGGTGGTACCGAGAGGCTGGATTCGTGGATGTGCACGAGGAGGTCTTCGCTCTACCCGTGAACCCATGGCCAAAAGAAAACAAGTCGAACATGTACGGCAAGTTCTGCATGTGGAACATGCTCGTCGGTTTGCACGGATGGACGATTGAGTATTTTGTCACCGGCCTGGGCTGGACACCAGCAGAGGTCGAAGTCTACCTCGCGCATGTGAGGAACTCGCTCGCAGACGAGAGTGTGCACGCCTACTACAACTTGTAAGTCACATGTCAAACATGTCGCGATATGACGAGGCGGATGCTAATATCTACTAGCTACGTAGTTTGGGGTCGCAAACCTAACGACGGCGAAGCCGGCAGCACAATTCCCAAACCTGACCACTGGCCGCAGCCTCCCTCTGACGACGACGAATCCACCTTTTCATCGGGAATATTATAATACTTGTTTGGAACAGCCAGTATTAGCTGGCACATATGCATATGATTGAGCTTTTGGCGTTATCCATTGATAGGTGTTCTTGGGGATGAGCCTTCTGTCCTTTTACATGGATTGCAAGGAGGTAATTTGTTGCTGTTGTTGTTCTTTGCATATTTTCTCGGCGGCTTGTGTCGATTGAAAAAGCCTTGAGCGGTGGTTGGGATCCTGTTGCTTGAGGGTCTGCGATTTACGATGTATGAGACTTGGACTTTCTATGGTGTTTGGATGAGGGGGTTAGTTGTTAATGTCATTCGGTTCGTTGCTATCTCAGGTCTGTGAACACAAAGATGAGTCACTATGATGCACGTGGCGAGGTTGTTCTCATGGCTGTACATGAGACAACATGTCGATACATGGGCAGTTTCGTGATGTGAGTTATCTCGTCATGGTCCTGGAGCTGGATTTCATTCGGAATTCTTCGCTTCAACCAGATCGACTCCATCAAGTCCTGCTACATCGTTGGGCTGTAGGCCACCCGAGAGTTTCCATTGTTTTTTGAAACAATGATGTCATCGACTGAAGGTGGCTGTAAGTGTTTATTGCCCTCGTAGAGAATCAATCCATCTCCTCCATGTAGTCGCTAATGTTTGCCATCGTAGCCTGCTTCGGCATGTCGTCTGGACGGTAGCGCAGAAGTGCGATGGCGAGGTCAGCGAGAAACTCGTTGGGTAAAAGACGCGTGTCCTGGGTTAAAAATTCCGCCGATATCCTAAGCCACATATCTACTATAAGGCGACGGCCAAGACTGCCCGCACATGTGCCCTGGTATATGATGATGATGGTTCCGACCGTTGGTTGGAACTGGAACCCGTCCGCATCTTTTTCTTCAGCGACCTCTAGCAAACCTTGGATGGCTGAGTTCTTTGCAGTCTTGTCCTGGAGCTTCTCACCGAGCACGTAAAGCCGGCCGAGCACACGCATCTCCTTTCCGATATCCTGACGATCTATCGGCTCCTCCAGAGTGTTGGTGACAATGCGAGCTGTGTAGAGGAAGTTGATATAGATATTGAAGATCTTTGGGTCATCCTCCGGCAACTCAATGATGCGTTTTTCGCTCTCTACCCAGTTGCCGTTCATAGCACGTTTGAAGAACTCGGAACGTGCGCAGATGATTCCCTCATGGACCGAGAAGCGCTGTTGTTTTGGACCTTTGCCCACAATGATTGTGACGAGCTTCGACGGATCGAAGCTGCCATGGTCAGCTACGGGCCCTGGAGATCGATCGCAGATACTCACCTCATTGCTGTTTTCACACCTGCTCGAAGAGTTGTCATGGTTGTTACGATGATATCAGAGTTGGTTGATCGGTGTTGGTGGAATCAAGGGGTGCGCTTGTCTGAGGAGAAACTTTCCAATCAAGTGCAGCCGAAAGAAGGAGCTCGGACTATTGTCTACACCTGGCGTGGTGAATAGTGAACCGGATTATCATCGTCTGTCTGCACATACCTAGGGAAGCGACCGCCTACAGCTAGCCATTCGTAAGCGTGGTGTCAGTGAAAAGCTCAAGATGCGGACTAGCAAAACTTGAGTTGACAACACTAAAAGTGATGCTAGACGTATACATTAGCTGGAAATGTAATAGCGGATGAGTAGTTAGATCAATGGATGCAGACACCATGGTACACTGCCCGAAAAGAGGCGCAGAATTGAAGTCTTTAATCTGCTTTTGAATAAGAAGAATAAACAGACGAAGTTGAAAGACGAACACATGACGATGCGGCTAAGTTTTTGTAGAATTTTCAGGATTGGGACGTATTGAATCAATGAAAAGCGGAATGTCTTGACTTGCAAGCTTTATGTATCTGCCATGCTTTTTGACTAGATGCACATGCACCGTATCTGTTTGCTTTCACGTCCCTGTCCCAAAGCTCTCATCGAAGATTTACCGACCATGCCTTTCCTTCTGCAGACCGCAAATTCCACGACCGTACTGTGCAAGCCAGTATATGGCTACTCAAAGCTTCTCTTGATATGCAGTATAGCCTTTTCTACATGCTAAATTTCTATTTTGCATTGGACGCTCACCATGGAGTGAGTAGGCGAGATCGACGAGGAAGTCCCTGCAGAGGCCTTCACTCTTCTCAAGAATACTCTTCGTGCTAATGCAGGTCCAGATGTCGACCATGAGGCGCCGTCCAAGACTGCCTTTCAATGTGTTCTTATACATCAACTCGACCATCTCGGCGTTGGGTAGTCTGTCGGCTGACACATCTGTTGCAATTTCTGTGTGGAGAGTCTCCAGAGCGGCATTCTTCGCTTGCTTGTCTTGCAGCTTCTCGGCGAGGATGTAGAACTTGACGGTTGACAACGTATGTGCTTGAAAGTTGACAGGCGTCATCTTGGAAGCGTCTGGTTCATTGTACAACACGCCCATATAGATGAGATTGACGTAGAGGGCAAAGATCTTGGGGTCATCCTTAGGCAGTTTGACAAGTCGATCCTTCTTCTCAGACCAGTTGCCATTCGTTGCGCGGCGGAAGAACTCGGAGCGTCCGCTCAGGATGCCTTCGTGGAGTAGAAAGTCTTCTTGAGAACCTTCAGGACCGACGCGCACAGTCAAGAAGGAAGCCGGGTTGAAGCTAGATTGTTCGTGTCAGCATCGGCGATTGACGGTTACAAAAGATCACTTGCCTTATGGTGCTGACTTTCGCAGCTTCTGCAGCGGTTTGTGACTCCATCGTAAGCACTATCGTCCTGGTGGCCTTGAATCGCGAAGGGTGGTGTGAGGAGAGGTGAGGAAGTGATTGCCGAACAATTGCAGCTATACGAGATGTTGGTCTGCAAGTGGGCTGTAGGTAGATACGCGTCTATGGCAAGTCGCAATCAAGGTGAAGGCCGAATTGCAGGACTAGTGCTGTGATTGGTGTAGCGGCTTATGAGGATGGAGTGAGAGGACCCGCAGTGATGGCGATAGAAGCGGTCGAGAAAATGATTTTCTTCTGATGCCGCTAGATCGTAAGGCAAGGCGGAAGCAAAGGACGTTGGCATGATGTAGTATTAGGATGCTGATACTGGGCAAATAACAAGCACGTGCCATGAGTCTAGTCGCGACTTCTTGAACATGTAGCCTCATATCTGGTCATCATGGTACCTGCCTCTGACGGAAATACCACTTACCCGGATGCACCTTGGCAAATGGAAACTTTACCTAACCAACCTCACTATGTTGGACCTCTTCCTGACCGCTCGTGTTCGCTTGCGTGCACTTTTACCATGTTATCTTCATCATGTTAGGCCCAACTACACTTCTTAACCAACATCTTGATGTTAGCAGAATCCCAGACAGTTCAGATACAGGCGCAATCTCTTCGCGCACGCCATACTGGCTCTAAGACTCACCTTCACCTCGCCCTCCACCCAGCTTGCCGTCTGCCTAGCCCCGCCACCCTGCATGCAAGCCCTCCCATCTGAGCCCACACATCAGCAGCACCTACAAGACCCACCTTTACCTGAAGATATAAACCCAACATTGCCCCATCCACCATCAACTCTCCTCCACTTGGCGGACTCGGGTGGGCTCCTGACGGGTACATAGAGTGCATTGCACGGATTAGAAAAACCTAGAGAAAAAACAGACAACATGTCCATCAAAACCAAAAGTGACTCTGGTAATGGGAAAAAACACTCAAGAGATGGATTTGTCACACAAAGGGCTGAACTCAGGAGGGCGCGCCGTTCGATTCGGAGTGGGCGTCGGTCAGCAGATGCTGGGTGGGGGTTGAGTTGATTCTTTTTTGCCCTCTTTTTTTTTCGATTTGGGTTTGGAGGTGAAGGTGGAAATGGCATGTGAGAGCGGGTGACGTGTCTCTCGTAGAACAACAACACGCGGCCGCATTTAAGACACAACAGAGGAATGCAGAAGACACGCAGAGGTGCGAAGAAAGATAGACATAAGACAAATACAGATGACTTAAAGGTTCACGTGACTTTTCTACTTTTACCATTAAGTATGTCCTTCCTGAATGGCATCGCAGCGTACCCGTGAGGCCCGTGCGACGGCGTGGCACTCCTTTCTGTCAGCTTCTTCCACAGCTCGCCTATGCTTGCTCTGTTGGCGGGGAGCATACTATATTGCAAGCTGTATAAGTTGCGGCGGTGGATGGGTGGGACAAACTGCCCCGACACGAGATACAACAAGACGCTAGGCGAGAAGTAGTGCTTGCGTATGCGATCGCCGAGGTCGAAATAGGGTTGAAACATCGCGCGTAGTGACAGCGGGATCGACTGCATGGTGTGAGTTCACATACGTTACAGAATTGAGAAACTTGAGTTACCTTCAGCAACACATAGGCCGTCGGCGGTGAGCCTGTCTCGCTTGTCATGCTGGAGGAAAGATCGGTCGTGTCTTGTAGCTCGAAACAGATTCCTCCAGGTAGTCTTCCAGGATCCTTCAGTCGTAGCATGACTGCGAAAAGCGGGAAGTGATTGAGACAGGCAAGCCCCATCTCCAGCGCAGCTTTCAATCCGATGACAGCAATACGTGCGCTCGCAAACGTCAAGTAGAAGACGAACACAGTTGGCAGTAAGAAGAACTGCAGTGTGAAAAGAATAGTGCCGAGCAATAGCTGGTCCAAGTCGTAGTCGCATGAGTCGATTCGGTTGCGGAGGATGTTGCGCTTCTTTCCACGGAAAAGGTGGAAGAGGGATATGATTATCGTAAGCTGCCAATGAAAGATGCGAGCAGACGCGACGTAAAACGAATAGATGTGCAGCGTCAGCAGCGAAACGAGGTCCGAGAAGATTGAGATGGGCATAGTGGCGCCAGCGAAAGCGGAAAAGCCAATGATCTGGATCAGCGCAGGTAGATGTGGCCGCAGGAGTGATATGCATCCCGCCCAGTAATCAATGACCCAAAGAAAAAGGTCGCCCAGGAACGCAGCCAGTTCAGTGTTCAACTTCAAGCCTCCGGGCCATCCCATAAGCCATGATATCATGCGCCGTAGACCGTCGACTGACCAGGTACTAAATATGGTATCGACCTGAGCAGCCACGAACGAAGCGTTCTCGATGATGAATGTCCCAACAGCGATGCCCATTATGACATCGTTGGCAACCAGCCACAGACTATTGTAGAACCGGATATACTCCGGATGACTGTTAGTGATGCTTTCCCAGTCGATTTTCCTCCTTCGTAAGGTGAGATACTGAATGGGCCAGTAACAGGACTGTTGTAATCGTATGTCGATCTGTTGCGCTGTTGCAGATATGTCTTTCAGAGCTGGCGAGTCGGAAGAACCTGGCCGCCAATGTAGAAGCTGAAGGACTGCCTCTCCCATTATGCGATGCGTGATGAGCCCAAAAATAAAGAGTTGTGCGGCTACCGGCCATATCCAGACTCTGAACGCATAATGGAGTACAAGCCATATATAGTCCCAGAGATCGTTCGCAGACTCGACGACCCGCTCACTGACACTCAACGCTCGCTTCATGCGCCTGCCAATCATGCCGATGTTCTTCTGCAATAGGGCGTTCAATTCGTGCGAACAGTTCACCTGCTCGATGAGCATCGGCAACGCCAGCTCCTTTTGAGTGCGCGGGTGTGCAATCACCGTATGCAGCTTGAGCTTCTCAACGAGATGTGCCTTCCTTCTGCGCTCCTTCTCTTCTGCTTTCTCCAGCTCTTCGAAAGCTACATCCCATTCCGCGACCCTTCTTTTGTCTCCCAGTGCTAGCGTGATTGGTTGGAGCGAGAGGTATTGCATACGCGTTGGGTGCGGTCGGTCGTATACAATGACTTGCATTGCCGCGAGCGGTTCGTGAGGATGATGAAGGCGCGGAAAGCGGAACGAAGGGTCGGTATGGACTACGATGAGGTCGGTATCAGGCTGCTCAACTGGGCTCTTGGGGTTGACGTAGCCCAAGGCGCGCAAGGAAGAGTGTCCGCATCGTTGAAGTAGTTCCTGGACATCGTGTGGGCTGTGTCGCAGCAAGGTCCCGACAAGCAGCGCGTTCTCGACTTGACGCAACTCGACTTCTTGAAGCACAGCTACCACAAAGACATCTGACTTCGAGTTTCTGAACCCCACCAGAACACCCGGCACAGAGTCCTTTGGAGCGTCTGACGGCCAGAATACGCGCATCAACCCATTGTGTGTGACCATGTCATCTTTCTGCTACCCCGCTAGCTAGAAGGAACCGCGACGTTTGAGCTGCTCGCGCGCAGAGATGCCGGTGCCTGCGAGTCGAGGATGCTGTGTGATGCTGTTAGTAAGGACCTGGAAGTGCGAACAAGGTCCATACTGACCAGGTCTGTCTCTTGTGTCGCGATGCGCACAACCGGTAGTATGAAGAGGAAGAACAGCAGGGACAGCAGACAGAAACCCTTAGCAGTCCGTGTCACAACGCCGTGATCCCAGGCAAAGATACCTAGTTCGTAGACGCGCGTCACAAGATCCCAACGGGCGGTCGAGTACCCTGCGACGAAGATTCCGATAGTAAGAATGGAGAAAGCGTGCATCTACGCCGTCATGCCAAGTTGTGTTCGGAAAGGTCGAAGGGGGACTGCACGAACACTAGACTAGCATTCAGGAAGGCGCAAGTGTCTGCGATGCGTCCTGGCTTTCACTCTGTGAACTGACACTGGTATGAAGTAGTGCGCTTGGGAGTACATGGCGCTGGATGCATTAATGCGCGAGGCGTAGACAGACGATGATCGCGTACGTGGAAGGTCCGACCGGACTGATCGAAATGTAACGCTAAAGCCGAAATGGCCTAGCGTTCATCGCTCTGTCCTCGACAACGGTGAACACCATCACAGAGGCAAGCATCAACACCCAGACGCACAAGGAGATTCACCCTTTTCGACAAGCAGCTATAACACACCAGCTGCCGTGATACGGTAGGTGCTTAATTTCGTCTCGTCAACTCTTTCTACTCTACTTCGATACTGTCTACGCTGATTGCTTAGCGCGATTTGGCGACGAGCATTCCCAGTGCCACATGCATCGGTCGATATGGGCAGAGACGGGCAGAGGGCCGGGAACACCGAGATTGCGCTTCGATGGGCAGAGGTAACTACAAGTAATGGATTTCAACGGCGTTTCACTGCTGTGTGAATCGCAACCACCTGGGCAAGATTTGGCGCTCTCACTTTATACAAGAAAAAAGCTGAACAGATCTAGAGCCTACATCGACGCTAGGTCACCTATCTTGTAGGTTTTCACGTCGATGTAGGCTGCAGGCCTGTTCGGTCTTTTTCTTAATCGACGTGCTTTGTTCGCGTTAATTACTAGCGCGTCGCGTCCGTCCGCCGGAACCTTGGAACCCTCGCAGTTTCCGTTCACACCAGCCGCGACTGCCTCTTTCATTGACGTCCACAAGTTGACAACACAAGTAAAATCTCACCGTTGCTAACAAACCCCAGTCAACTGCGAACTCCAGATCTTGACCCCGGACAAAGAGGCTATAACGGCAACCAAGGCGACATGACTGTCTGTGGCTTCTATCAGCGCAATGCTTGCAAGTTCGGAGATTCCTGCAAATTCGAGCATCCTGGAAGTTCGCGAGATGCAGCTCGAGGCGGAGGCGGCTTTGGCGGAGGCTCTACCAACGGCCGCTTTGGTGCTTTCAACGGCGACCGCTATCGCCCAAGTGATAACAGCGGGACTAACTCATTTGGTGGAAACCGTGATCAGAAATCATCGACCTTCAGCTTAGACAAGGACGCCATTCAGATCGATCTCGCCAAAGAGCGGCCGATCTATCCGCTTTCATGCTACGGTCCCGGGAAAGATGCTCCGCGCCAGCTCATCGAGGGGCCTGTCGAGATCAGTCCAGAGGAGCTTCGATCCCGGTACTACACATTACGCGCGGCAGGCAATGAGCCTACAGCGGTAAGTCTGAAGTTCAGCGCTGGGTTCTTGATAACTAACGGTCTGTAGCAACAAGAAGAGGGAGCGCTGAGCGAGAAGATGCAACAGCAAGTAAAGGCGATTTTGGATCATATCACAGGTGCTATCAACTATGTCGCAGAGGGTGCCAACGTACATCCCAACCGCATCGACATCGCCAAGGGCACTGCAGCAAGCGGATCAGCAAGCAATCCTACTGGATCGTCTAACACTGCTGCGAATCCCTTCATGAAAGCACCACCGAACCCGTTCCAGACTGCTGCAGCTTCATCTCAACCATCCGCGTTCGGGCAGGCTTCTACACCAGGATTCGGCAAACCGGCCTTCGGTCAACCAGCACAGACAAGCTCAACATCGGCCTTCGGCGCTGCTTCTGCGTTGGGTAATACAGGATTTGGCAAACCGGCCTTCGGTCAACCCGCTCAGACAAGTTCAACATCGGCCTTGAGTGGTGGTAGTGGAAGTGCATTTGGGAAGCCTGCCTTTGGTGCCTCTGGGTTCAGTCAACCTTCAGCCTTGGGCGGTGGTAGTGGGAGTGCATTTGGGAAGCCTGCTTTTGGTGCCTCCGGATTCGGCCAACCATCAGCTCCTGGTGCAGGTAGCGCATTTGGCCAGTCCAGTAGTATGGGTCAAGGTTCTGGATCTGCTTTCGGCCAGCCATCAGCTCCTGGTACAGGAAGCGCTTTCGGGCAAGTCAGCAGTATAGGCCAAAGTTCTGGATCTGCTTTCGGCCAGCCATCAGCACCAGGTGCGACGTCGGGTTTCGGCCAAGCAAACGCTCTTGGACAAAAGCCAAGCCCCTTCAGTAAACCAGGTTTTGGACAGAGCGGATTTGGACAGGCGGCTCAACCAGGTGCCAATGCCTCTCCTTTCAGCCAGCAAGCTTCGTCTGGCGCGTCACCATTTAGTCAGCAAGCCTCGTCAGGTCCATCTCCCTTCGGCCACAAAGCACAGCAACCAAGCCAGTCTTCACCATTCAGTCAAGCTGCCCAGCAGCCAGCTCAACCTTCACCGTTTAGCCAGCAAGCTCAACAGACCCAGAAACCGAATCCGTTCGGTCAGCCTCAGCAGCCGTCTACACAAGCACCTGCACAGGCGAACCCCTTTGGTGGTGCTGCATCATCTACCACCCCGGCCTTCGGACAACCAAGCAAGCCGTCACCTTTCGGCACCCAACAGCCTCAAAACAACGCAACGCAGCCGGCAGCTGCCAACCCCTTCCTCAAGCCTCAAACATCTGCCGCGCCAGCAGCCTCCACGCCTTCACCCTCTCCCTTCAGCCCCCAGACACAGAGCCAGCCTAGCAACCCTCCCGCCCCTGTTCAGGCTACCTCTCAGCCGGCTTCCATAGCCCAGCCTAGCTCCGCACCGCGCCCCCATGTTGAAGGTGTTACACCAGATGGCAAGCCTATCGACCCCAAGGATCGTTACAAGGAGGGCAAACCAGAAGAGTATGAGGGCGAGCAGGGTCGGATTCTAGAGGAGATCTACAAACGTGTTGCTCAGCTAGGACGATTCAACGATGATGAAGACATACCCGTCACGCCACCGAAGTGCGAGTGGATCGCGCCGCTTACGCTGTTGTGAAGCGACGATTTGAGTCGGATAGGACAAGTGGGGGCATCTGATGGTAAATAGCATGAACGGCGTTAATTTTGGTTTCGTGGATTGATCTCACATAATGATGAGTTAAATAATAGATTAAAATGCACACGAAAGCGCGTGTAGTTACGCATTCATTTGATCGCAAACGCGACTTCCTAAACGGTGAAGCAATTATCTCGTAGTTGGACAGAGTTTCAGAGAGGCCACGATCCAAGTCCGCATGTCAGGTTCAGGTGGAGGGCGCCTGTCACAAAATCATCATCAGGTCCCAAAACACCACCATGAACAGCCTAAAACATATTTGGTATAAGGTGGTTACTCGATGAGTATCAACTTTCGTAGTGACGGAGAAGAGTCCAATCTCGTAGTGTACATGCGTGTTCCATCCCACTGGTCCATCGTATTGTACTGCCTGCTCCGCCCGTGCAAGTCCCCATTCGGCGCGCTGCGCAGGTTCGGCCGCGTAATCGTCGCTTGATAGGTATGCGGTGGGTGATTTATCGCTTCTTCGCATCGACTTTGTCCTCGAGGGTACGAACGTAGCCTTCTATCCGTTGGACCGCAGATTGGAGAGCCTGCTTTCGTTAGTCATGGCCTGCTTCACTTGTATAGCTCCAATGTATTGTTTTTGCGATCGAGCTTATGCATAAAGGATGTATGGAGGAATGACGTACGTAGATGTCCTCGGTCAGGAGCTGGTTCGATACGCGGTATTCGTCAATGACATAGTAGTACATGCCTGCGCCGGATGCGGTAGCACCGAGAAGGAAGCCGAACAATCTGTCGTGTGTTAGCCATAACAATTCAGCCTTCTTTGCCATTCTAGTATATTGTGTTCGCCGTCGCACCTGCCTGATGGCATGTGACAGTCTTCCGTGGCTGTATAGCCGTCCAACCCAGTTCAATAGAATGCAATTACAAGATGAGCACTCACCCTCCCCTAAAAGCACCAACGGGCTTCTTCACTGGCGCAACAACAGTATCCTGTCTCAGCACAGCGCCTGTCTGGAATCCGCGGGAAGCAGCCATAGGCGCTCGAACGCCGGCGCGAGCCGCCGCCCTCAAGAATTGAGTTGCCATTGTGTCCTTTGCTATCTTTTACGTCGCTCGTATCGTGTCTCGGAGTCTGGTCGCGGATTGTGAGCGTGTGGGTGCAGCGTGGTGGTGGTGACGCTCGTGTGCCGGCCGTGACGTTTGTGAGCTACCTGCTCTCCGCACTACAAACAACCTTGGAAGCAAGCTCGACTCGCCTGACCTGGACCCTTGCCTGCCTCCCGCTTATGTCAGCCACCCCGCCTGGCTTTATCTGGTAGACCATGCACTGCGATTCATTCATCGCATCTCGACACAACAAAGTTTCTGCCAAGTGTGATAACTGAAAGGGGTCGCACCCACTGCTTCGTCTAAGTTCCCCCCCTTCGATAGTTTCGAGTCACGATTATCGCCGCTATCCAACTCCATCTTCAGCGACCCTCTCCAGATGCGGTCCCTAAAGGGGCCATCCAGGGCGTCCGAGCTCTTACCTGGTCGATACGTCAAATACACGCGCACGTGCCAAACATGCATGTGACACTGAGACATCTTGTCATAGTAATTACTGAATTAAATCGCGATGCGCGTAAGGGTATTGTAAATCATGTACATTAAGGAAATGAGGGCCTGCTAACGGGCAGTGTCCTCGTGCAGTCCACCAACTTCATCAGATCTCTCTTCTCTACACCCAGAAGACTCATCCTGATGTAAGCCTTCGCATAGTCCAGGTTCCAATGGACCTGATTACCAACAAACGACTTCCACTCATCGGCGATCTTGGGATGTGTCGATAGCACCTTGTCGCTTGGGAGTACGAAGACCTTCTGATCAGCACTGCCACCGGAGGGATTGTTGAGAGTGTCGTTATAGAATTCGACGTCCCAGACACCGGGGGTCGTATCGAGTGGCTTGTCGACGACCTCTGGGCGGACGTCCACGAATCGTTGCTTGGCTGTTGCGTGGGCGCCTACGAGTGCTGCGAGATCGTGGGGCGAGAAACCCTTGTCCTTGAAGATGGCAATCAATTTGTCGGCGTCTTGATGGACGTCAGGTAGAAGTCCTTTGGGTGCGGCCTTGGTCGCATCCTTGCGGCCAACGAATGTAAGTACGCGGGGCCCCTTCGGACACGAGATTGTTGCGTGATTGTGCGCATATTGGACGAGATCAGCGTATCCGACCTTGTACTTGGATTGTACATCTCGAAGTTTTGTGCGAATGCTCTGAAGGCCGTTGTTCTCGGGTCTTTCATGCTCGCCAAAGTCCATGAGTAGCGATCCATCGGCACCACCATTGAGAGCATTCTTATCCCAAGACCCAGCATCGTGGAAGCCCATACGGACTGCGGCACGAGCGTTGTCGTTGCATTGTTTGTCCTTGGGGTCGACAAACAGCTTGGTAAGCTCGGCAGAGACATCATACCCTATATCTGTTAGGCCATAGACGATTAAGGAGGATTGTTGTAACTCACAAACGCAACATTTGTCAATACTCAACAATGAGCAGGTCAACGGCTTGTTCGTCTTGGTGTTGTCGATAGGTGACTTTTTACCAGACAGAACGTCCGCAATGAGTTGCTCAATGCCTGTGAGAACACCATTGAGAATGCCATCGATAAGGCCGGGTGCGGCATGACGGGGTTCCAACGGAGTTGATGATGCTATCGAACATAGAGCGATGAGTGGCAACGCCAGGGACTTAGTAGGGACCATCATGGCAGCTGAGGTAAGTAACGACCGAGAAGATTATGAACAATAAATTATAAGACAGTGTAAGAGGAGCAACTGTGAGCTGATGAGGAACAAAAAGACAAGATGTTTGGAACATCCTTATATTCCCCGACTGTCTCCTAACAGCAACGGTGTACCAAGTCCCGGGCCTTCCATTCTCGCCGATCACAGTCCCGCATGGAACCAAGACGCCGTTTAGTTGAGGCCACAGCAAGCCACATTGAGTAGAGGGATACAGCTCGGTCCCCGAAATAGTAATCTATCCCTGTAGCCCTAGGCCAAGCCAGCCGCTTTAAGGCGATACGGTTGAGGAAAGCCAGCCAAACAGCTACCAAGTGATGGTCATGACAGCGATATGCAGGGCCGAGCCTAGACTAATGACCTTTTGAGACAGGTAGATCCCGTCAATGTAGGAAGTCAGGGCAGTCTAGCAGTCGCCGCCTAGAAAAAAGGTGCCAAGCTTGCGAAGAGGCGCATTTGCGAACGGTCTAGCTGTTGCAGACATGTGCCTGATTCAAAGAGTGTGAGTCGAAACACTCGCCATTCGACAAGCAAGTACAGCCCAGAGCGAAATATCGACAGTACAGTCACAGCATCCTGCGTGAATGCCACCAATACTTGAGTGCGGAAGAGCACCCTGCCGAAAAGCAGCATACCGCTTTGCGATTCTCCGGTGCCGCTAGCGTCGATATCCGTTGTCCAGAATTCTACGAAGCCACGATAGCCTCGTGTTTTCTCGTGAAGATGCATGGTGGCTTGTCCAGATCTCGCGTGTTCGCTTGGCATGTCAAAACTCAATACTCTCCGCATGGTGATCCGGGACCTGAGCCCATCATCCGCGAGGAAGAATACGCCACTTGCCTTGCGGTCCCACATACGTGAACTCGTACAACGACTAAGCGGTGTATTTGTTCTTCAGCTACACAAGCTAGTACCATCAGCTGGGATTCGCTTGTATGCCCAGGTGTCGTGGCATGGCGCGCCATGCGATTTCGAGCTGCTTTCGGGTATTGCCCCAAGATAGCGATACAAGAGCCACTGACGCTTTCCGCTAGCGAACGGTGATGTTAGTAATTGAGGTGATCCGGTAAGCCTCCAGTCCATCGACCGCTTGTAGAAGAGCTGAGCCAAGTGATCGACGACACTAGTGTGATCGTGCAGCCGCTGCTGTGGAGAGCCGGAGCCACCACGAGCACATGACCTTTGAAATGCTCAGCCCTGTAGGTGTTTGGCAGTAACTGAACACTTTTCCATCCAAATGGATTACCCTCGCAATCTGCTGTCTCAACAAAGAGCTTGTTCATGGCAGTAAGCCCAGCATCTGCCACCCTTTGCCGGTGTCCATTGCTTTTCAGGACGTCAATGTTGAGAGTAGCGTTCAGAACGCGCATCGACGCGCACATAGAAGGTGTGAGGAGCGAGGGTCTTGCAGGTGCTTCTGCTTACCTTGCGCGGTTCCGCTTTAATGCAGGTACCATTACCGTACCAACGTGTTGCACGGTAACAAGCAAAGCTATTGACGTTAGATGCAGCCTGACACCGTCCGGAACCAAAGTGTTGGATGATCCGACGCTCGGAGGTTGGACGCCCATGAGATTCGATGGCAGAACAGCCCAGCAAAGGGTTGAAGAAGTTGGAGTCTAGGGTTCAAGGGTTGTTGAGCTTCATGTACCGTTCCTATCGCCTCCAGGGCTTCTTCGGCCCGCAAAAGCATGAGCCTTGACACGGTGCTTGATTGTTTGTTCGCTCCAAGCGTTAGCATAAACGTCCCTGACCCCTTACCGCCATAATACTCAACAGTGACAAATATCCCATCAGACGTCGTTATCGCATTGATGGAGAGAGAGATATCTTGGTGGAGCGGCGAGGCCACGGCTCTAGCGGGAATAATGGTCTTGGCGTGCGCCAATCGGGGGCCCCGATCAGCGGAGGCCTCGACGCGTCTCGCCCTTTTCGATCTTTGTTCCTTCATGCATCAATACTGAGGGCAGATTCGCATCAGTCGGACATTCGTATCATCCATCTGATATCGACTGGTACTCCCCTTTCGCAACCTCGTCACTCTTACTCTGAAATCGCGACCCTTATCACGTCATGCAGACAGATGTCGCGTCCGGAATCCTCTGGCAACAGTCCGCCAAAACGTCGACGGACGGTTGAAGGGTCGTGCTGGCCTTGCAAGCAAAGACGAGTCAAATGCGACCTCCAGAAGCCCACATGCCGACGATGCCTCCTTTCCACAAACGCGGAAGACTGCAGCTACGACAAGTTACTACTCAGATGGAAGAAGCGACCTGCTAAAACGGTGCCCGAATGCATCCCACAGCTATCCATCGAGCGTTCGCTCAATAACATTCACCTGGCAGTCAATGAGCGAAGAGCACTGGAATACTTCAAAGCGCGGTTATGGCCACTTTTCTCCACTCTTCATGAGCCAGTCCCGCCACCAGTCGCACTTGCCCTGCGCTCTCAACCTGTCCTCCAGGCCCTATGCGTATTTGCCGAGGAGCATCGGGCGCTGCAAGAGCGCGGATCGTCCAAACAGACTCTTGAGAGGAGACGCTTGCATTGCTTGTCAGTTATCCGCGGCCAACTGAGCAGCGAGCAATCCGATGGTGCTGCGCTCTCCGCACTTTTAGTCGCGGTGCTGCTTTTGTACTTCCTGGAAGGCTATGTCAACTGCATGTCAGATGACGCTTCGACCGGTTGTCACCTTGCAGGAGCGATCGCAATCATCAACGCAATGGGTGGCTTTCGAGCAGCATGGTCATCGTCAGACAGAATGACTAGAATGCTACTCTCGGAACTAGCATCCACCGATCTGACAGACGCCCTGCTCCAAGACAGAAAACCTTCGTTCCCAGCCTCCATTTGGGAGACAATGGAGTCAGGATCAGTATGGTGGGAAGTCGTCCCTGGCACTACATCACTCGGGTCTGTTCTATCCACATTGGCTGAGATGAGCTTCTACCGCCACGAGCTACAAACTGGAGCCGAAGTTTGCGTCGAGAAGGCGCAGGCCTTTGAGCATGCGCTTCAGCCCACGTACTCCAAGCTAGAGTGTCCAGATGGAGACGCAGGACAAGACCTGCTAAGCCCTGTTACAACGGCATCGCTCTCACTTGTCCGTTGTTTCCAGCACGCAGGCCTCATATACCTTTACAGTGCTATTCACGACATTCCCACGAAGCACTTTCTTCTCCAACAGCATGTCCATGCGTGTCTGGAGTGTATACAAGGCATGGATACGAGATCTAAAGCACAGAACTG